TTTTCTCGTCAACCTGTTCCTACCTTTAGATCTGATGGGACTTGGATATGGGTCTCCTGGTACAGGGGTAGGGACACTGCCTCTGCACCTTAAGAGGAGCCTTAATTACATTGTGGCTGTCCAGTTCAATAAGTAGGGAGCCAAACTGATCTATTCCCTATTCATCTTTAGGAAACTTTCCAAAGGACAGAAATAGAGCTTCCCTGAAGTAGGCATTTCGAGGTGAAGAGAGGCAGGTAGTGCATGTGGTTTAGAGCTGTAACTCCATGATCCAATGATGGAGCCAGGGACAGAATATCCTCCCCAGATTTTAATTTCATAAAGATGTGGCTCCCCTGTACTGTCCTGACCCACTGGTCCAACAGAGCTGGGAAAATCTAGCCCTCAATTTTGTTACGAAAGAAAGGTATGTCCCTGCCAAATAAGTTGCAAAATAACGTGAAGTCTTGCATGACATTCTACGTGAGAAGATTGAAAATATTTATATAAGGCAAATAATGGTTTTTGGAAGCTTATCAGGGAAAATATTTTTAAAATGAATTAACTTCTGCAAGTCTTCTGTAACTGTGCATCAAAATACCACAAATAACAGTTTCATGACCAAAATAGTGTAGTGCAATATATCATACTCTGTATATTTAACAATGATATACTCTTACGTTTTCAGAAAAGCAGATCGTACTTCAAAATAATTCAATATGTTTAACTTGGTAAGAATTTCACTTGCGCTATTTTCCAACAAAACAGAGCTTTTAAATTATTCCTGCACTCCTTGAAAATAAATCCAAATATTTTAGTATGAGGGGGGAAGAAATTTGAGGCACTTTTTAAGTCCCTGATTTAAACTGTGCCTCATATCCAAAGGGATCTGATCTATGGGTTTAGTTAAGTACTTTAGAACGTAGCAACTTTAAAGGTGTGTTTTGTGTTATTCATTTCTGAACGTAGTGTTCTTCATTTTCTTTGCTAATTACTGACAATAAATTTCACAAAAGGTGTATTGCCTTCTGCCACCTACCTAGCCTAACTTATCTGGTTATTATTACAGCTCTATGCCAGAAGCAGACCAGTTTTCATTGAGAAGAGAATTGTAAGACCAATTTGTTGTACATGAAAACTAATACTGCTCATTGCTGTAAAAGTTAAACTATTGCTAAAGGTTATTAATTATCCTTTATCCATCTAAATAACATAATTTTTATTTTTTTTTTCCCTCTGATGGTCCAGCGCTTTAAACATCAGATGATTTTAAGTTCAGCATTAGCTTCTTGGCATTTTTCAATAAACTATTGTTTCAGCTCACCCACTGTCTACAACGCGTAGCATATTTGATATTTTCTATTTTTATTTATAGATTTAAAAATAATTAAAAATGAAAATAGTGTTGACTATCTCTGCAAGACATAAGCTATGCAACAAAAAAAAGCTATCTTAACCATTCTGCAGGAAAACAGTTGGGCAGCTGAACCAAACTAACTGCAATGCTGGCAGAGGATTTCTAAGTTGACTAATTTGACCAATACTGAAGTCCAAATTCTGTTGCAAATAACATGTAGAATACTGATATGCTATATGGCTAGTGCCAACTTAAACTGCATATTTTGCACTTTTGACACAGGCATTATAAGTAAACAAAAGATTCATAAACATTTGATTTGATGGGGAAGAAAGATAAAACTACAATGTTTTTGGCATATGGAGCTTCAGATTACCTATAACTGGTAGTACTTGATGGAATGATGCATGCAATGCTGGTAATCTAAAGACATTGTGGTTCAATGAATTTTTGTGGTCTGTTCATATGACTGAACATGAAACTTTGTGCACTCTAGTCACATGAAGAATAGTTAGTCCTTCCAAATCAGTGTTTCAGTAGAATGTATGTAAGTGAGCCAGAATCATGACAAGTTATGAATTGCTGATCTACTGTTTAGTCTGAATATCTATCATGTTAATTCCTCCTAACAGAAAGTCAAGTTTCTATAAAAATGATTTTTACAAAAAAAATTCTTAACACTAATTTGGGTATTTCTCTGCTAATTGATTTAATATCTGGTGAAAGAAGTAGGCTCATCTAAGCCACCTCAAAGTGACTAATAATTTAAAAGACAGACTGGAAATTACTGGTATCAATTATTGTGAAGAATCTCCCTTGCATTATGATATATTTTAATAGGCAACTGTATTTGATTATGTTCATATATTCATGTTTTTGAATTCAGTGTAATACTTGAGTCACTCAAATAGAGTCATAGAGGTGTATTGGCATGGGAACAGGCCCTTCAGCTGAACTCGTTCATGCCAACCATTCCTAAACTGAAGTAGTTCCATTTGCCTGCGTTTGGCCTGTATTTGGCCATATCCCTCTTAACCTTTCCTATCAATGCACCTGTCCAAATGTCTTTTGAATGTTGCAATTGTACCCACCTCTACCACTTCCTCTGGCAGCTCGTTCCATATACACACCACCCTCAGTGTTAAAAAGTTGCTCCTCGGGTCCCTTTAAATCTTTTGCCTTTCACCTTAAACCTATGCCTTATAGTTTTGGGCTCCCCTATCCTGGGGAAGAGATTTCTATGCCCCTCATGATTTTATAAACCTCTATAAGATCACCTCTCAGTCTCCTATGCTCCAGGCAAAAAGTCCCAGACTATCCAGCCTCTCCACATAACTCAAGGTAAAATCCTTGTAAATCTTTATCGCACTCTTCCCAGTTCAATAACATCCTTCCTTATAGGAGGGGGACCAGAACTGTATGCAATATTCCAAATGTGGTCTCATAGATGTCTTGTATAGCTGTAACATTACATCCCAACTCCTGTACTCGATGCTCTGACCAATGAAGGCAAGCGTGTCAAACACCTTCTTTACCACCATGTCTAACTGTGATGCCACTTTTAAGGATCTATGTACCTACACCGTTAGGTCTGTCTGTTCAACAACACTTCCAGGGTCCTAGCATTAACTGTGTACGTCCTGTCCTAGTTTATCTTACCAAAATGCAATACCTCGTACTTATCTGCATTAAACTCTATCTGCGATTCCTCAGCCCACTGGTCCTGTTGACCAAGATCCCGTTGTACTCTTAGATAACCTTCTCCACTATACCACCAATTTTGGTGTCATCCACTAACATACTAACCACGCCTCCTATATTTTAATTCAGATTGTTCATATAAATGAAGAACAACTGTGGTCACAGCACTGATCCCTGCGACATACCACCGATCACAGGTCTCCAGTCTGAAAAACAACCCTCTACCACCACCCTCTGTCTTCTACCGTCAAGACAATTTTGTATCCAATTGGCTGGCTCTCCTTGGATTCATGTGATCTAACGTTACTAACCAGTGTGCCATGCGGTACCTTGTCAAAGGCCTTGCTAAAGTCAATGTGCACAGCAACTACTGCTCTGCCCTCATTTATCTTCTTTGTCACCTCTTCAAAAAAAAACTCAGTCAAATTTGTAAGACACGATTTCCCATGCACAAAGCACTCAAATGTAATTCAGTTCAATGGAATATCATCAAACATTGTCAATCATACTGATGTCTGGGCATATGTTTCTGTAATTGTCAGGCACCTGGTGCATTGATCTTTTCCCCACATCATTGTGATTGGCAGTTGGTACATGTAAAACAATTATTCCAAAGATTTGTAGGTTAGGTGGATATAATTGAAAGAAATTCTTCCTTATTTGGTCTCAAATTAAAATGTTGCGTTTTGATAGAATGCATTGTCTTGAGTCCAGTTCTGCTTTGTAATGTGGAACATTACAGCTATAATGCTGAATGAGGCTTTGGTTATGAAACATTGACAGGTACTACTGATTAGGATTGAAAAATAAGAAGGCACAAAGTTATTGTAGTTGAGATGCATGACTAAGTTGGAAAGGTTGCATTTGCAATGAGATTACTGAATTTGCAAATCAATGTTTCTGACCATTGAAATGGATGGAGGGAGGAATCTACATGCATATCAAATTTATCTAACATGCTTTGAAATGGAGTGACTTATAACTTCTAATACAAAGCCTTAAAAGCCTTATTTCAGCTCAGCTGAGAAGTCGAATAACGGCACAGTCCTTCATTATGGCTTTATTTTAAGGAACACTTTTCTGATAAAGCAAGAAGACAATGGTCTTATATTTTTAATTAAAAATTAAGTAGAACTTTTAGGGAAATTATTTTAATTTTATATTATTAAATGATAACTTTATATGTATTTGCCTGCTTACATCATCTTTTTACTTGGTTTGTCAGGGCAACCATGAATGGGTGAATTTGTGCAAAATATCTTGTATCCCAGACTACACCAATGGAATGCCCAGCTCCAAATTCTCATATTTCAGAGTAGTACCCAGACTTGTTCACAGATACAGATACTTTGTGCAATTTGCAAAAACTAAAAGAATTAAATTGGCAGATGATTTAAACTTGTTTAATAACGTCAGCATCTTCAAACAAATCACAGGAATATGCACTTTCTAAATTCCAGAGCTAGTGTGTGTACTATTTTGATTCATGAGTGCTACTGCCCTAGTTCATCCATTTTAGTAGAAAACAAAAGTTTAAAGATATGCAACAATTACCCTAAAGCTAATTTACTGATCTTCCTTTCTGATGCTCAGAAATTGCAGAAGCTCGGAATCCTTAAAGACTGAATGGTAAAGTGTATTTTCATGTCAATGAAGATTCCACATGGATTGTTGGATTAAATTTTTTTTCATATAAATATTTCATGCCTTCTTTAGAAGATACATAAATATTCTTTTGAATGTAACGGATATTTATATCAGTTTACTTTATGCATGTGTTCACATGCAATTTCATGGTAGTATGAACTTCATACCAGTCTTTCAAATTATAATCAATATAATGGTTGTAAATCAATCTTGGCAACATGAAATGCGCTGCTCAGAGACTACTATTACCTGCTTGGCATTAGGAGGTTAAGTGACCTATCTTTGTAAATAACTTCTATTTGGGCTTCTTTGACAGAAACTGGCTGAAAGCAGTTCATCAGAAGGGAGCACTGTTGACAGGGATCCACCTGGAGAGGGAGAGCAGCCAGAAGAAGTACCAGAAGAATCCATGGAACCTGAAGCATGCTTTACTGAAGGTATATTTCTGTGCTGCTGATAACAACTGTTGAAGTGCCTCAACAAAGTGTATAGTTTAATGCATAGTTGGATTTGTGTTTGTTTGCACATTTGATTTTATGACTGTTACAGCTGTGTTCATTGACAAAATGACCAAAAGTATGCACTGCAATATTCTGGACATCTCTTCTGCTTCTAGCCAATATCTGAAAGGGCTTTGTAAAAATCTGCAATGTAATATTATTATTCCTTGTGATAGCAATAGTCAGAATTAAATCATACTGATTTCTGTGAGCTATAAACATTTACATCATCACCATCTAAGTACAAGGTCAGAAGTTGCACGACAGCAGGTTATATTCCAACAGATTTATTTGAAATCACAAGCTTCTGGAGCGCTGCTCCTTCGTCAGGTGAAGTCCACCCCAGTACAACACCGGCACCTCCACATCGTATAAGTACAGGCAAATAAAATAGACTATCACATGTCAGACTTGAAATATATTTTCTCTTTAATTCTTGAGAAACAGCAAGGGAGTACTTCTCAGCAGGATTAGAATGGTGTAAGTGGTGCAGTATAGCTTTTACTGTCATTTCTTTCTGGTTACAATAAATGACATTCTTTTTATCCTAACTAATATGTGACTGACATTGATATTTTCTTTATCACATTCCATGTCTGCATTCCAGCTGAAAATTGAATTACCTTTTTGACTGTGTCTTGTTGAACATCTTTGTTATCAGCTTATTGTGCAGATAAATGAACATTGAGAGATTGTTGTTTCTGCTAATCAGCAATTTAAAATGCTGGGATACGGTATTGGCATAGGGAGCCAATCTTTTCAGACTAGAATGAGAAAAATTATTTTCTTCACTTAAAGAGCTGTGAATCTTTGGAATCCTTTATCTCAGGGAGTTGTGGAATCTCCATTGTTGTATATGTTTCAGACCTAAATAGACAACTTTTTGGTCTCTCAAGAAAACAAGGTTTGTGGGGAGTTTATATCATGTCTAGATTTGAGGCCTTCACCTTTAAGATAGATCCATAATATCAAGACATGTGAAGTTTCAGTGTAAAGATACTCGTCTCACCTTCAACCTCTCTCCCTTTCTCTTTCTCTCTCTCCTCCCCCCTTTCTTTATCTCTCTCTCTTAATACACATATAGTATCTTCATTCAGTCAGCTGTGTGTATAAAATATGGAGTAATATCAGTAAGTACAGAACTCAGACTATCTGTGTAAGTTTATTATTGTAGTTGTGTAATTAATATGTTAATAAACTTCAAGACATCCATCTCAACAAGAACCTGACATTCTGGGGTATATGTTATGCAGACTAACGTAAAGGAAACTACAAATCACATCACGGAGTGGGCAGGAGAGTTGAGTTGAATGCAATATCAGCTCCAATCATACTGAATGTTGGAGCAGGCTGGGCAAGCTCTGTGATTTTACCAGCTCCAGTTTTTTGTTTTCTTGAGTTCACACAATTACAAGTCAATGCATTTACAAATTCATCCACAACCTTTATCGTGTTATATCTATGAATGTCATAGAGTTCTAACACGATGGATCACTTATGAACATTTTAGCCCTTAATTTTGTAAAGCAGTGAGACTAAAAAGCCATTGGTGCAAAGTGCAATTGCCATGAATAATGTAGCCCAGCAGAGCAGGAAGAGTGCCATGCAAAGTTATTCCTCTTGCATCATCAGAAAGTTGCATTCCAAGAGCCAGAGCACCAGTCAAAAGGAAGGCAAAGAGTAGCCAGAAGGGATATCTGCACCATACCCACCATATGTCTGGGTGGGTATCGGCATGGCCCCGCTGATCAGAGAGACATCAGTAAATCAGTAGGTATTGGGCCATGGATGTATCCTTTCCTGCTGGCAGCACCATCTTTCAGGATTGGAGTTGCAACAGAGAAGCCTAGTTTGCCAGTTCCATTGAAGAAGCTTTTCCCACTGTACATTTAGCTCAGCCTTTGCATAAAAATGACTGTTTGGGAACCGGTTCACTGGCTGTCAGTTGCTGTATTGAGGGTGTATGACGTATGGGAAGAATGAAAAATATTTATTGGACTGATGAGCTGGGTTCCCTGCTATCGTTTGTGATTGTCACTGAATTTCACTTTGGAGGAATTTTACTTTCTGCCTGCATGCGGACTTACCTCTCCTTGATTTCACAAATTCCACACCTTATGACCCAAACCTTCTGCAAATATCTGAAGTTGATGACATTTTTTTCCCAATGACTGAATATTGTCAGGGCCTCAACAACGTGGGCAATGGTGGGAAAGTTGGGCAAATAATAAATGTGATTCTTGACATGGAGGAAAGAAATGTCCAATTTTGTGCTTAAGGTTTGAATGGCATGATGAGAATCTCAGTGCCAAGGAGCTGATTTACGTTCATTAAGATCTCATTAATACTAATCTCACCTCAATTCGATGAAGGTTGCTGTTCTCCCAGCAACAGAGTGAGATAAGACAGCGACAATTCCAGTCTCGCTGGCGGCTTCTCTGGGCACCCATCTTGGCCGGTATGCTGCAACATCTTAGGCGCTCTCCATGAGCAGCACCCACCTTACACCCTCTGTTGGCAGAGGCTGGCAACAGGAAAACACAAGCCTAACTAAGTCATCATGGTACATTTCAGACTAATTTATAATACAGTTCAGCATTTCAGAACTGCATTTTGTGACTACACCAAAACCTTATAATGCAGTGCTGCTGCCAGCACACTTTGCACACTGGGACAGGCACCCATCTTAAGCATCTACACAAAGTTCACCTGAGGGTGGTTAGCTTGCTCTTTAGCACTTCATGCTTACTTGGACACCCACAGCATCTCTGCCTTGCCTTCCCTTGCCCTTTATCGCAGACAGAAAGCCAGGCAGCTTATCAGATCTGCCAGAAATTAACAGTCAAGGGATAAACATGTTGCTGTATGGCATCCTGCTAAATCAATGTCACACTTGCAGCATATGGCATCAACAAACACACAGCGTGTGCTTCAATCAAATGGTCATATCCAGAGTTGAAGTGAAGTGGAGCAGTCCTTAGTCCAATCAGGGTACACTGTGGTCAGTCAGGAGCTGCTTTGTCCTCAGTTAGGTGAGGGGTCCTGAGTGAGGGAGTAGAAAGGATAGAGGTCAGAAAAGTTTACAGGTTTGTGGGTTGAGATGATTGAAAACTAATGAAGGAAGATGTTGCAATTATGTTCTGTTCTCCACAAAGATAAGTGCTTACCATCTTCTCTCTGCTAAAGACAAACACTAAGTTAGGAACCTTAAAGTGGATTTTTTTGCAAGCTTGCATACAGCGTATTAAATTCTTACAGCTCTTTCTACCCCTGGTATCACAGTTATAAATGCTTAAACAATTAATATGTACCATCTTCTCCTCCTTAAATTTACATAAATACATTAACAAACTTAGCGATGTGATTAAATAAAACATTAATAATAGAAAAGCACATTAAATAGTTTAAAAATATTTGAAGAGAAAAATGATGAACCTTGATTTTTTCTTTGAATATTTGTTGGGAGCTTCACATACCAAAAGTAGCTAGAAATCTTTTTTTTGCCAAAATAGAACTATTTGTAAGTACAGCAACATACTAATGAGACCGGTATATCAATTCATAGTTACATCTTCCCTACTATGTGCTTTATGATGGATGGAGTATTATACTTTGAAGGGAGATCCATGTCTGGGTCACCGCTGATTTTATTTGTCTCTCATTTCTTTCCTTGTCTTCCTTCTTGTCCTAAAGTTTATGAAATCTGAGTTTTTATACAGTTGTTACAGACTAAGAGTTAAGAGTGTCTTTAAGATCATGCTAACAGTTTGATACATAAATGAATTTATAATTTGTAGAATATGAGCTGTATAAGATTGTTTCTAAAGTCACATATTGTCTTATTTTGCTTTTTTGCCTGTAAAACCGTTTACTACAGTTTGTCATTATTTGGCATTTAAGATTAGGATCTTACTGAAAGGTCATGTGTCAAGTACAATAGTGCTCCAATTCATTGTGCAACTGCCACCATTTTCAGTTACTTCTTAATTCAAATTTTCTATTTTAATTAGCAAGCTAAACTTGTGGGGTATGAAAAGTTTAGAAAAATTTCTGAAGAAAGCAGCAGAATCAGATAATTTGCAGCACATGAACTGCAGTAGTTCAAGAAGGCATTTCACCCCACCTTCCTAAGGACAATTATTGTATTGAATGGAATTGAATGATTTATTGTCACTTGTATTTAACAAATAAATACGGTGAAACATGTAATGTATCACTATGTTCCAGTGCCATTTTGACTTACAGAAGATAGTAAGATATAAGACTAAAATTAAGATGTAAGACTTAAATATAAGTAAAAACAGAGTTCATCTTCCTCCCTTCTTGTCCTCCGCTCGACATTGAGATGGGTGGAGGGGGATTTCCACAATGGGCTCTGGGCCCATCAAAGTCCCCACATCACAGTCTATTCCAGGAGTACCAGTTTGGGCCTATCACATCACCGCAGCTGAAGCCCAACATCTTTGATTGTGATGCCGATCACAGATGCCACCTTCTGTATGGAGGTCGCCATGATGCCCATTTCGCCATCACTTTGCCACCACCAGCCCCAGACCCAACCAACGTTGAAGTCGCCGATCACCAGGAGCCATCTTTCGCCGTTGGGCTTACCTCACTGACATCGCCACTGATGTAGCAGCCGCCAATGCTGATACTAGGCCCTGTGCCCACCCCTCCGCCAAATCCTCTGCTGCCATCTTACTGGAATCTTCTGCCATGAGTCCGTGTTGGGCCCACTCAGGTGGACAATCAATACTGTCTTGGTCAGCAATGCCAAACTACCATGAATGAATGAAGAAAATCAAAGAAATCAATCCAAAATGTGGAAGACTTATTTTCAGAATTAACAATAACGGTAGCTAAACTTGTAGGTTGCTAATGTAATCCATCATTTTTTTTGTCATCCTCTGTTGGAAGGGATTAATTTATTATCTCTT